CCCTTCTGGGGAACCATTGTTGCCAATCTCCAGGTGAGGGCTGGAGATCACTCAAAATTACAACTGTTCTTTAGGTAGTAGAGATCAGTTCCTCTGGATAAAATGGTGGACTCAGTGTCATTATACCCTGCTGAAGTCGCCACAGCAAATTGACACTGAGTGTTCAAGGCCGGGGCATCCACCCAGAGCCTCTTTCTAGAGATCGTTGTATTTATTTCCACAATGAGCCTTTTTCCTAGTCTAAAATAAGACTCACCGGCTCACTACACTCATAAGAAGCCGCCTGCTACTGAATCAGATCATCGGTATATTGATGTCAGTGTTGTCTACTCTGACTGGCAGCCGCTCTCCAAGGACTCAGGTAGAGATCTTTCACATCACCTGCTACCTGATCCCTTTTTTAACCCAAGATGCCAGGGATTGACCCTGGGTCCTTCTGTGTGCCAAGCAGAGGCTCTACTATTGAGCCATGGCCTCGTCCCATTTGGGATCCTTTGCCTGGCATTTCAGGTCTCAGTGTGATACGCAATGCTCCCTCTAAGCTGTGGAGTCTTGTGAGCAAAAAATCTACTTTGTGAGCTACTGACATTAAAGTTGTGAGTGAGCGATTTGGCTACTGCATAAATTAGTTTGCTCTGGAGACATCCTTCCTGAGCTAAGATAAAAAACTGAGCCAGAGGCTAAAAAACTGTAAGCTAGCTCACACTAACACAGCTTAGAGGGAACACTGGTGATAAGGCTTCTGGAATTTTGTTCCCCAAGTCTCCGGTCCCCTCATTTCAGAGACCCTGGGGTTGGAGTTAAGGCCATTGGGGAGTTTTGCTTGTAACATTTCATCTCTGTAGAACTGCAGGCGGAAGATCAGGCTACCGCTTTCCTTGCTTTCACTGACTGAAGGCTCTCTTATGTGACTTTGTAGAAATGGCACAGATGGGAGAGGTACGAGCAATGCCGTCTCCTGCTTTTTAATTGCTGAACTGGATAGCTTTATTGTTTTCATTTTGAACGGAACTGCATTTCCAATCTGGGCTGGCTACCTTGGGGACCTGTCGGTTGGAGAAGAGGGAAGGGATGGAAGGAAAGAAGCACTGGGAAGGGTAAGGTGGAAGATTACCTGAGTCCTTAATCAGGTATTTAAATACAACAGCAGAATGAGCAAGGAGGAAAACGGAAGGTGAAGAGTTCCACTGCTAGGAAGGTAGACTGGGAACAACGGACGGTATAATTTGGGGCTTATGGAAGAAACCAGGGAGAGAGGCAAAAGAAATTGAGAAAGGAGGCGAGAGAGGGAGAAGGAGGAAGAGGAGAGGGAAGGAGAGAGGAAGGAGAATGAGGAGGAGGGACAGGGAGGGAGGAGATAGAGAGAGAGGGAAAAGTAGAGGGACAGAAGGAGAAGAAGAGGGTCAGAGGGAGGAAGAAGGAGAGCAATGGGGAGGGAAAGGGATGAAGGGGGAGAGCGAGAGGGATAGAGGGAGAGGAGAGCGAGGGAGAGAGGAGGAAGGGAGAGAGGAAGGAGAAAGAGGGGGAGGGATACAGAGTGGGGAGATAGAGTAGGGAAAAGGAGAGGGACAGGGGAAGAAGAAGAGGGTCAGAGGGAGTGAGAAGGAGAGCAATGGGGAGAGAGAGGAAGGACAAAGGAGAAGGAGAAGGAGGGGGGAGAGGGACAGAGGGAGGGAGAGAAAGAGGGAGAAGAAGAGGGACAGAAGGAGAGAGGGAGGGAGAAGGAAAGCAAGGTAAAGAGACTGGGGAGAGGGAGGAGAGGGAGAGGGCGAAGGAGATGGACAGACAAAGAGAGAGGGAGACCAAGGGAGAGGGAGGAGGGGGACAGAGGAAGAAAGCTGGAGAGGGAGAGGAAGTAGGAGAGGGCCGGAGGGCGAGACAGGAAGAGAGAGACAAGAAAGAGAACAACAAGAGGATGTGCCAAATCCATTGACCTCACTGATTTCCCCGACTTGAGACTAAAACAAGGCCTGGCTGCCTAAACAGCAGGGCCCGGGAGCATTTGGCTGCAAAACATAAGCCTGGCGGGTACCGAGGGTTGAGATATTTCTCCACAGCCACCAGGAGTGGACTTGGAGCAAGCCTAGTGGAGTGACCATTGTGGTGGTACGAGCCAGTGCTACAGGGCCACTTAGCTCAGTCGGGCAAACGGGGCATTAGCTCACCCATTGCAGCTTCCTGCAAACTGGTGGCAGTGCAGGAGGCGCTGACGTCCACTGGCATGGCTGATGCAGGGTCTGAGGAAAGTGGCCCTGGAGGCATTGGTAAAAGTTGCTGGGCCTTGGCTCTGCTTTGTCCTGGCTGCCAGCACCCTCCAGGGGAGTGGCTCACCAGGAGATTTCCCTGTAAGATAAATGGCCAGTTCATCTGACAGCTGTTCCTGCAGACCCAGAGAGACATCAGTATCAACAAGGCACCTAGTGGTGAGGGGACTTGACCCATCTATGCCTCTCACAGTACCTCCATAAGCCACCACTACTAAGACCGCATGACGTCAGTGCATCATGTCGCTCCGCCATGCTCCCGGAAAGTTCCCTCCCACCCCCTGCCAGTGCAGACATCGGACCTGGCAACCCTCATGGGCCTCTATAACAGTGGCTGATTCCTTGCTGTCTTTTTTGGAAGTCGTGCTGTCTTTTTTGTAGGTCGTGCGCATGTGTACAGGGCAAGGGTCCCACAACCACTGCCTCTATTGTACACTCATTCGCCATAACATGTCTACATCCCTTGCAAACCCTGCCCACCCGGGAGGCTGGGGGGCTGAATTTTTCCCTGCCATCTTGGACTGCACACTGTTTTATTTACTGATCTGTTTTGGGGTAGTTTTAATGTTGGTTTTAATTTAAGTCATTTATTGTATGCTATTCTGTTGTAAGCTGCCCTGAGCCCTACTTGTAGGGAAGGGTAGCCTAGTAAAACTAATTTAATAAATAAATAAATAAATAATAAATATAGGGCGACCATTTTGCCTTGCTTGGCCCGTTGCTCCTCTAAGCCACACATACAATCTGTGCCATGGGGTGCACATAATTTTTGTTTGTATGCACCTCAAGTAATTCTTATGTTGCCTCTAATGAGTGACATCAGATTATAGTGTTCAGGATGTCAGCTTGCAAAAAAGAATGGGGGAATAGCAGAAGCACCTGAAGTGAACACTGTCTGAATCTAGAAATCTCTCAAAGGTGCCACCAGCGTGCAATCGAAGAAGATATGAGTCAATGTTTCAACTGCACCAGATCCACAAGGGCACAGTCTATCTCAGGATTCCCCAATGTGGTGCCCTTGCGCAATATGATGTCCACCAATACTTTCCTTGGCACCTTCCAAGCTTTGCAGGAAACGTAAGGCAGTGTTTGTTATTGTTATTCAAATGAAAGGGTTCTCCACTGCTGGACTGGGAGGACTGGGAGGCACCTGAGCTTCTGTTAAGTCTGTATGTTGTTCCATTTCCCCTTCAGGATTTCCTTCTCCCCAGGAGGTGTCAGGAGGGAGGAATTCCATTCAGCTCCCCCTCCTGTGTCAGCCATTTTAGGTTTGGCCCTGCCTCCTGCGGCAGCCATTTTAGGCTGCTGCTCACCACCTCCTTTCAAAATTCCAGATGTGCCCATAAGCTTGGAAAAGTTGGGGACCGCTGCTCAGTCTGAATAAGCCACTCTACCCGAGAAAACAGTGGAGGGAAAAGCATTTGATCTAGCCAAAAGAAAAAATCTCCAATATTTGGGGATGGTCAACTGATAAACGCTGAACTGCAGGCTGTGGAAGGTCGGTAGTTCAGCAGTTCGAAACCCGGATGCTGCACGATGGAGTGAGCTCCCATCTCTAGTTCCAGCTCCTGCCAACCTAGCAGTTCGAAAGCAAGAAATTGCAAGTAGAGCCAGTTTGGTGTAGTGGTTAAGTGTGCGGACTCTAATCTGGGAGACCCGGGTTTGATTCCCCACTCCTCCACTTAAACCTGCTGATGTGACCTTGGGTCAGTCACAAGCTCTGGCACAGCTGTCCTTGAAAAAGAGCAGTTTGTGTCAGAGTTCTCTCAGCCCCACCCACCTCACAGGGTGTCTGTTGTGGGGAGGGGAAGGGAAAGGAGTTTGTGAGCCGCTCTGAGACTCCGAGTGAAGGGCGGGGTATAAATCCAATCTCTTCTTCTTCTTCTAGATAAATAGGTACCACTTTGGTGGGAAGGTAACAGCGTTCCGTGCGCCTTGGTGTTTAGTCATGCCAGCCACATGACCACGGAAACGTCTTTGGACAGCGCTGGCTCTTCGGCTTTGAAATGGAGATGAGCACCGCAACCCTAGAGTCGGACTCGACTGGCTTTCGAACAAGGGAACCTTTACCTTTTACAACTGATAAAAACAAGATGGATGTGCAGCAGGAGGAACAATACCCCCCAAATATCCTAGAGCACACTCTACGACTTCTAGTAAGGGCCAATGGATGATCCAAGGCCTCCAATGCTCGATCAAGAGACAGCCCTGCAGCTTGAGGTCCCATAGATAACAAAAACACAGGGGACAGCCCCAAAATTGGAGTCTAGATTCAAGATGGAGTCTCCTTGTGAAACGTAAGCAATCAGAATATATAAAAGAAAAGGAAAGCGTGTTCATGAGGTAATATTTCCAACAGAAACTCCCCAAAGGCCTCCACCACCATTGGAACTATACTATCTACCCACTGAGTGATTTTATTATCGTGACTTGCTCCGAGAATGATTAGGGTTGAAAAACAGCGTGAGAATACTGTAGATAAATCAGGAATCCCACCGGCCACAGACAACAGCTTACTGAGAGGCGAGTTTCTCGCAAGCTTTCTTGAGTCAGGGGAAGGCGTCTTACACGGGAGGAAAGCATCACCGCTGTCAGAATGGATCTGAGAGATCCAACCCTCAGGATTTAGCGGAAAGGGTCAACCCAGTTTAGGTGATTCTCAAAGAAGAAGCCCACCCCCTTTTCCGTCCTCCAGTTTTCATAGCAAGGAAACCAGAGGAAGGTTTATGGCCATACCTGGAGAGATGAAAAACGTCCTCCATAGCTTCTTGTCCCGAGTAACGTCCCGTATCTCTCTTGTCATGTTAACCAATCTACCGGCCACAGGCGGGACACGGCGAAAATCCAGGATTCTGCAGGGGGGAAAGAAAAGCAATACAGAGGGGTTTATAAAGTGACAAAACCTCCCCACACTTTGTCATGTCCTGATTTAGCCTCTGAGAATATTGATAACCTCTCATGCACCTTTTTTGGCCCCAGGTCTTTGATTTGGAAACAGCTCAAGACCCAGGATCTGGGGATTGCTTGTTTCTAAACAAGGTAACTAGACCTCATGCCCCGACCTGGATGGCCCAGGCTGGCCCAATCTCACCAGATCTCGCAAGCTAAGCAGGTTTAGCCCTGGTTAGTACTGGGATGAGAGACCACCAAGGAAGTCCAGGGTTGCTATGGAGAGGCAGGCAATGGCCAACCACCTCTCAATGGGTGCGGTCAGACGGGCCGTTTAGTCTGTTTTCGGCCCGCCTCAGAAATGGATTTTATCTGCGCGATCACACGGTCAACATCTGCCTCCCGTCCCCAGCCGTTGCTTTCCGGCTCAAAACTGCTTTAACCTGGAGTATTTTGATACCAGGTCCCCAAGTGGTGTTTTCCTGATTCTCTGGTTCCAGCCGCATTTTCCCCCTGTGTGATCGCTCCTCCGGTGTCGAGCCACTTCCAGTTTAAACTCCCTCCCCGCTCGAAAACTGCACGAGGCTTCCGCTTTTCGCCCACCATTTTAAAAAAAGCATTGGCGGTGTGCGCATAGGCGGAGGTCCACCACCGTGTTATTAAAAACAATGTTTCAACGGTGCCTAGTTTTAGCATTTAGACGAGTTTGGGATCTCACGGAGGCCATTTTCGGGGTAAACGTTTAAAGGGAAGTGTTCCTTTAAAGTTTAATGGGAAGTGTTACAGCAGTCGGGTTGAAGTGGAAATTGCTGTTCTGCGCACGCGTGAAAATTTTAGTTCTACAGATGGCTGTGTGCATGCCCAAACTGAGAGAGATAAAAAAACCCAAAAGTGACGCACGCTCCCGCGTGTGGATGGCAGAGAGCGATGTGATTGCGCAGTGATCCGGAGCAAGGAGGTGAGTATGATCACGATTCTCCAGGTTAAAAAAGACTGCATCAGGGCTGGAACAATTTAAACAGCTCCCAGCACACCATCTGACCGCACCCATTTTCTCCAAGTGATCTGATCCCTGTTGCCTGGAGATCGGGTATAGTCTCCAACCACCACAGGGAGGTTGACAACCCAAATGCCACCCCAGCCTCCTTGAACATAATGGGTTGGTTAAAAATAACACAGTTCTCCATGTGAAGGACTTAAAGGAATGGGGATCTCCTCCCCCCAGCTCCCCCTGTTCTAGCTAGGGTTGACAGCAACGCAGTGGAGTCTTGTGAGCAAAAATTCTACTTTGTGAGCCACTGGCATTAAAGTTGGGAGCGAGCGATTTGGCTACTGTATAAATCAGTTTGCTCTGGAGCCATCCTTCCTGAGCTGAGACAAAAATCTGTGAGCTGGAGGTTAAAAAACTGTGAGCTGGCTCACACTAATTCAGCTTAGAGGGAGCACTGGTTGCCAGCCTCCCTGTGAGGCCTGGAGATCTCCCAGATTTGAAACCGATCTCCAGACAACAGAGATCAGTTCCCCTGAAGAAAACAGCTGAAAATGAGTAGATGCTGTGGCATTATACCCAGTTGACATCCTTCCCCTCCCCAAACCCTGTCGTCCCCAGGTTCCACCCCTAAAACCCCAGGAGTTTCCTCACCGAGTTGGCAACCCTAGTTCTGGCTCCGCTTTTCCCTTGCTCACTCAAGGCTTCGCTCCATTCATCTTCCTCCCCCACCCCGCCTGTCCACTCCTTCTCCACTCCCCCACCCCCAGTCACCTCCTTCGTTTTCAAAATGGAACAAACAATGACCAGAATCTCATCAGTTATGCTTGTGGGTTCTGGCAGCCATTTTAGGTTGCCTCGGGCATGCCAAACACCAGCAACTTTCCTTGCGGGTTGCTTAGGCCACCCAAGATGGCCGCCATGATCTTGAAAAAATGGCCTCACAAGATCTTGATACCTTAGAACTATTTTGTTTCGGTGTCCCCCTTTTAAAAATTTTTCTAGATTTCCCCCCTCCCCAGCAATTGTGGGAGGTTTGCAGGAGCATAGTCCTAGATGGCCCCATTCTGCGTATTTTTGATCCGCACGGTGGGACTGCCCATGGGCATTAAGCATATGGTGCATGCCGTGCACTGATTGAAACTGGAGTCATAAAATAGCACCCCCCAATGACTCAAATTCGCCAACGAATCTGAATTCGTTGATATTTTTTTTTACAAAACAGTTCTATGTCATAGTCTTACCTGTCCAGATGGAATGCTGCTATTTCAGCATTATGTCTTTCGTAGTCTGAGAAATAAAAGAAGTCTGGAGGAGTTTCCTGCTCTCTAGTCTGTCTGCAAAAGAGAGTGAGAGAACAGTATGAATTTTACACTAACGTGGGGGGGGGGCGGGGATTCCTGTCCCCTTATAATCATAATGCACCCCATGGATTCAGCAAATGTTTGTGCTCGAATAAAAAGACGTTAGCTTTTAAATTCTGGTTCAGTAATCCCGTTAATGTCGCTCAAAAGCCCGAAGGGCGTTGCATTCATTATCTCTGTACTGTTTCCAACAACCCTGTACGGTAGGACCCTATTATTACACACATATTACAGACGGGGAAGTCAGACGTATGCCAGAGGAAAAAGAAAAAGCTGAAGAGCATTGAAAGCTCACTGAAAGGATATTTTAATTGAGATTTACATTCGTTTTATACCTGTCGGGAGACCATTTGTGTAGAAAAGCAGGGTAAGACGACAAGAAATAATGCCTAAGTCACATGATAAGCCTTGAATGATGTGGAGCCACGTTTGCTAGCACACTGTTTCAATGCATGTGCAAGATTCCCACGTGTGGAGTTCTGTAAGTCAGTCAGCACACTATGCGTGAGAAAACGGCTTCCATAAATACGCTTCCCTTCTCAACACATATAACAGGCCACCAATGCTCCCTCTAAGCTGTGGAGTCTTGAGCAAAAATGTTACTTTGTGAGCTACCGGCATCAAAGTTGTAAGTGAGTGATTTGGCTACTGCATAAATTAGTTCGCTCTGGAGCCATCCTTCCTGAGCCAAGACAAAAACGTGTGAGCCAGAGGCTAAAAAACTCAGTTTAGAGGGAACACTGCAGGCCACATCCACACGTCATTGGATATTGCAATATTGTTGAGCAACTCCAATAATTTGCAACCGGACCGGCTTGTCCACACAGAAGAATCCCATTGTGAATCATCGCTATTGCACATTAGCGCAATATCCAATGATGAATGGCGGCAGCCACACGCACAGAGAGCTTAACAAGATCTATATCATCCGCAGAAAGAGCTCGGCAGAGAGGGTGCCGTTTTATTGAATCCTTGTCACAGGCAATTATAAAATTTCTCAGAGTCATCGCATTTCTCTTGCAAGTTTGGCAGCTGCGACGCTTCTTTGAAATAATATGACACTTTCTTTGTGCTCCGTGAGCCACCAATGATGTGCCTTCTACATCAGAGAAGGAAGAAAAAGGGAACTGTATCCAGCTGGGCACACGGTGTGGGCGAGAGCTCTTTAGCAAGGTCAAATGTGTTGTGCTTCCATGGGTCATTTCAGAATGACGCTCTCCACTCCCGAGTGGAAGCGTCTTTTGATGCTTCCGCACACTGCAGGACCTGGTGTTGCCAAGCCACACATCAGAATGATGTTCTTTCCTCCCAGGCGGAAGTATCTTCTGGTGCCTCCATGCATCATTTCAAATTTAGTTTTGTCGCAACCAGGTGGAAGCATTTCCTGGAGCTTTCACAGGTCCTTCTCAAATAAGGCTCACCACTCCCATACATGCGTACAGAAGTTACCATCAAGTCGCAAGTGACTTATGACGACCACAGCATGGGGGCTTTCAAGGCAAGTGAGGAGCAGAGGTGGTTGACCTTCCTTCACAGGGTCTTCCTTGCTGGTCTCCCATCCAAGTACCGACCCTGCTTAGCTTCTAAGATCTAGCAAGGTTGACCTACCATGGGCCACCCAGGTCAGGGTAAAATGGTGGTGGGCAGTCACATCGAGTTGCAGCCAATTTATGGCAACCCGCCATGGGGCTTTCAAGACAAGAGACATTCAGAGGTGGTTTACCATTACCTTCCTCTACAGGGTCTTCCTCGGTGGTCTCCCTTCCAAGTACCGACCCTGTACAACTTCCGAGATCTGACTTGGTCGGGTTACACCATGCCTTTGTCCCTCCCTTCGCCACTCCCAGGTGGAAACATCTTTTCCTCTTATACCATGGCTCTAAAGCAATGAAATGACTGGCGCTGCTACCTGTGACGTATTTATGATAAGTGCTTCGATGCTGGAATATGGTGTTCACTCCTAAGCAATCGGTGGTGACAGAAAATGCTGTCACGTCACAGCCGACTTAAGGCAGCCCTGTAGGGTTTTCAAGGCAAAATACATTCAGAGGTGGTTTGCCATTGCCTGCCTTTGACTTCCTCGGTGGTCTCCCATCCAAGGACTAACCAGGAGAGATCCTGCTTAGCTTCTGAGATTCTGATGAGATGGGGCTAGCCTAGGCCATCCAGACCAGGGCTGATGTGAGCAGAGGTGGTTTTCCATTGCCTGCCTCTGCACAGCAACCCTGGACTTCCATCCAAATGTCAAAATTGCCGTTCATTTTACATTTTACAGCTCCTTTGCCATAGTAACCAGGGAGGGGGAGAATGTAGAGCCAAAATACTTTTGCTTCCTAGGTTGCTTTGATGTGCCAGATACCTTATCACCTCTGAGAACCTTTAGTGTCCTTGAGTCTCATCTTTCCACGCGTGCCTTTGTTTTACATGTTGGGGGTGTGTGTGTGGCACTGAAAGGGTGCTGGCTGGCAGTTACATTTGGTGGGTGAAATCCCAAGGGGTGATTGGTTCTGAACCTTTTAGGGCCCTTGCTTGAACCATGTATAGCTATTGCTTCTCACATTTAATCTTAGTTCTAACACAGCAGGTGTACAGGCTGGATCCTATCAATATCTCAATAAACTTATTCTCCAGAGTGAATGTTGTTGGGAATTTGTCTAGGAGTTTGACACCACAGTCGACCCTGCTAAGCTTCCAAGAGCCAATGAGACATGGCTAACTTGGGCTGTCCAGGTCAGGGCGAAGCAAAGGACAATTCCAGAACTGAAATGAGAACAACAACAACTCGATCTCCTGACTTTCAATTGTATCCCCCTCCTTCAATCTTCGAAAAGATTCACTGTGTAGAGGGAGACGGATCCGGCTATACTTCATGGGACTTCCTTGATATTACTGATAAGCTTTCAAAAGAAAATCTGGCTAATTAGCTAATCAATAGCATCTTGCCTTTAATTTCCTGCAGAGAAGAAGTGTCTTCCTGACATGGGAAACGCTGACCCTGAAAAGAGGCCTTGAAGAAAGGGGGCAGATTGTAATAGTGAGAGCGAGGAGCTATCTACAGAAAACAGTAATTGTTTCTCGCTTGCCGCCTGCTTGACATATGGGGCGGTCATTACATCACTGCGGGAGCTGTATATTCCCAGAAAAAATTCGCTTTTTCTATTAACTCCCCGCAGTTCCCAGGCAACAGTATAGATGGTTATTACTAATTTTGCAGCCGGTGCGGCTGGATTTCCCTCCCGTCCCACACCCCCTGCGGACGGAGCCTCGTGTGCGAGATCATGCCTTTGTGGGACCTGACGTGGACCCAAGGAAGGATGATTTCCTGCCCACAAACACAGGAAGTGAGGGTGGCATCAGTGCTAGGGTCGCCAGCCGCCAGTTGGTAAGAAACCCAAACGGCAGAGAAGCACGGAAGGGAGTAAGTTATACAAAAGGTACAAAATATCAAACCGGGCACAAATAATGGAAAATATATATTCAACATAACAATGAGTATGATAATCTAAACCTATATAAATAGCGTAGATTTTCCAAAGATACAATACGATAGAATCTCAAAAATACATGGTCCAAATACACAAGCAGTCCTATCAATCCACCTTCAGAAACAGGTTTTTTTTTGTGTGTGTGTGATAGAGCGGTTTTGGTGATCCACTTTTGAGGAAGCAAAGTGGAAGCCGGGCCGTTAAGTGGATACACCAGCGGCGAGATGAGTTTTTCAAAGAGGAATCATAAACATCTATATTTGGACTTTTCACTGTTTGAGGAATTTGACTTGGACTATTTCTGAAGGTGGATTAATAGGATTGTTTGTATATTTGGACCGTGTATTGTTGAGTTTCTGACTATCATATTGTATTTCTGAAAAATGACACTCTTTATATAGGTTTAGATTAGCATACTCATTGTATATTGAATATACATTTTTTGTTATTTATGCACAGTTTGATCTTTTGTATCTTTTGTATAACAGCCTCCAGTTGGTGGCTGGAGATATCATGAGATTACAACTGATCTCCAGGTGACAGAGATCAGTTTGCATGGAGAAAATGGCTGCTGTGAAAGGCGGACTCTATGGCATTGTACCCTGCTGAGGTCCCTCCCCTCCCCAAACCCCGCCTTCCCCAGGCTCCACCTCCCCAAATCTCCAGGTATTGCCCAACCCAGAAATGGCAGCCCTATGCGTCACGATGGGACCAGGGTGTCGTGCTCACCCTGCGCCCCTGGAGCAGCGCCTCCCATGACCGTGGCATGTCCTCCCGAGGCGGAGTTGTCGGTCCTGGGAGTTGGGACGCTGAAGGTGGGGAGAGTGTTGGGGCCTCAGATGAGCAGGGGACGGGGTTGATCTCACCCCATAGGTCCCTCTACCATCGTGCAAGGTGCTTTCTGTTGGCTCACTCTTGCCCTCTCTCTGTCCTCACCTTCGCACATTTCTACTCCTGCCCGGCCCCTTCGCTTTCCCCTTCTTTCATTTCTTTCCCGGCTCCCACCCCCCTCTTCCCCCGCCGCTTCCCCCGTCCTCCCAGCCCCACCCCTGTAATAAGCCTGGATACTACCCTGGCGTCTAGGGCGTGGCTGGAGCTGGGCCGGCGACGGTTCTGTCGGCCCGGGGGCTGCTCCGCCGGTGCCAGCGTGTGGGGTGCTCTGGGGCTGTGTGCCGGTTGTCAGCCTCTCCATGGCGGTGCCTGCATTGCCGCTGCCCTGTGCAGTTCCTCGGAGCCATTGTTGTGCCTCTCGGGTAGAGGCGGCAGCGGCTGGGGTGCTGTGTTGTCCGGGCTTCAGTGCCCATCTGGGTGTTAGTTTCGTCTGCGTTTGGGATGCCCTGGGTGAGTCTGTCATCCGGGGGGTGTGTGTGTGGGCGGAGTCCCGAGACCTCTGGACCGGGACACAGGGCAATTTGGGACCAGCTCCCTTCACAGTCCTGAAGCTTGCTCTGTTTCTTTGTGCCAGTGCCTGCGGTTGCCAACTCTGGA